GGGTGTGGGTCGGGTGAAGGGGAGGGGAGACCCAAGGGTTAAGGAGAGGGACGGAGACCCTCTAACCACACCCCGTCCTCCCTGCGCGGCAGGTCAAGGAGATCATGTTCCTGAAAAACACGGTGATGGAGTGTGATGCGTGCGGTGAGCGCAGCTGGGGAGGCAGAAATGGGGCGGCGGGAAAGCAAGAAGAGGTGGGGAAACAGAAACTGAGAGCAAAGGAGAGAGAGGAAAAGAGATGAGGAAGACGAGGCTGACAGAGATAGTGAGTGAGGGATAGGCAGAGGAACAGGGAGGGAAGACAGAGACTATGGGAAGGGGACACACAAAAAGAGACAGAGGCCATGAGGGAGGTGCAGGGAAGTGGAGAGAAGCTGAGGGAAAAGCTGAAAAACCACCAAAGTGGAGCGCTAGAGACTGGAGAGCCCCGCCCGCCAGTCCCCCCATTTGGGCGTGGTCATGACAGACTCCGCCCAATGGCGTGGCCCTGACTGCCCCGCTCCTCCCGCGCAGGGATGCAATCCGTGCATACATCGAGCCTGAGCGTGCGGCCGCTGCCCCAGTGCGCGCCCGACTACTGCTTCCCCGGCGTGGCTTGCACCATGACGGCTAGCGGCGCGCGCTGCGGACCCTGCCCTGCAGGCTTTACAGGCAACGGCTCGCACTGCACCGATATCAATGAGGTGCGCCTGCCCCACCGCCCCAATGACACCCAAACGCCCACCCCCACAACTCCCCATCGATCCTGCGACCTCCTCCTCCCCTGGGACTGCCTGCCTGGAGGACCCACTCACCTCCAGGGGCGTACGTCCAGACGACCTCCCCACTGCCGGGGGCGGGGGGCGGGAGGGTACCCATCCCGACCACTCTCCTCACCACCAATGTCGCCCACCCCAACAACTCCCCTACCGCCCGGCACTCACCCCCCGAAGACCACTTCCACCCTCCGCTGGGGATTCCCGCCCTCACAATTCCTTCCCCCGCCCATGACCACCCAGCCCACCAGGTCCCAGGAAAAGCCCCCTCCAGACGCGCCCCTCTCCCCGCCTGGTCGTACCTCTGCCCCAATCAAGACAAAGTCACATCTGACCCCTGGGACGATGGCCTCCGCCCCATGGCACCCCCTTAAGTGCTGGATGATGGCCCTTGTACTTTCTAAGATAAAGGAACCGTAAGGCTCCGCTCTGGGGAAACCCAGCTCACACCTTCTGATCCTCTGTGGCCCCTCTTCCCCCAGTGTAACGCCCATCCCTGCTTTCCCCGCGTACGCTGCATCAACACCAGCCCGGGCTTCCGCTGCGAGGCTTGCCCACCCGGGTACAGCGGCCCCACCCACGAGGGCGTGGGGCTGGCTTTCGCCAAAGCCAACAAGCAGGTGAGGGCCTTGGCCTTAGGGAGTGGGGGCGCCAGTAGGAGGGGGCCTTGGCCTTGGGGAAGGGGCGCATTTTGTTGAGTAAACGCGTCCTCCAGCTTCGCAGCCTTTTCCTTGCCTTGTTCCAGTGGGAGGATATGGGAACCAGGGTCTGGAGGAAGTCTCGGGGGAAGGGTCCGCGTCAGGGATGTCCAAGTTGGGGGCGGAATGGAGGGGAAAGGTAGAATGCGGAGGAGACATGAACCAGTCCGGCAGTGTCTGCATAGGGGCGATGGTGACTTCTCCGCTTCCTCCCACCCAGGTTTGCACAGACATTAACGAGTGTGAGACTGGACAACATAACTGCGTTCCCAATTCCGTGTGCGTCAACACCCGGGTAAGGCCCTAGAGGAGAGGGGAAGGATGGAGAGACGAGGCGGGGATGGGCGCGAATTGTCAGCGACCTGGGCTGACTGCCCACGACACGCGCGCAGGGCTCCTTCCAGTGTGGCCCGTGCCAGCCCGGTTTCGTGGGCGACCAAGAGTCCGGCTGCCGTCCGCGCGCACAGCGCTTCTGCCCTGATGGCACGCCAAGCCAGTGCCACGAGAAGGCCGACTGCGTCCTGGAGCGTGATGGCTCGCGGTCGTGCGTGGTAAGTGCGGGCACACAAGAAGGGGCACCGGATGGGGAGGTGGGGTCGGTGACGCCAGAGCATTCATTCATCCCCCACTCTCAGTGTGCCATCGGCTGGGCCGGCAACGGGCTCCTCTGTGGTCAGGACACGGACCTGGACAGCTTTCCAGACGAGAAGTTGCGTTGTTCTGAGCGCAACTGCCGTAAGGTGGGCAAGGGCCCAGGGGCGTAGTCTGGTGCGGGTGAGCTTGCTCGGAAGGCGTGGTCCTTTACGCAGTGGGCGGGTCTTCCAGGTCACACGCCCTTACGCCTGACCTGCCCGCCCTTAGGACAACTGCGTGACTGTGCCCAACTCAGGGCAGGAGGACGTAGATCGCGACGGCATTGGAGACGCCTGTGACCCTGATGCGGACGGGGACGGGGTCCTCAACGAGGAGGTGGGGCCTGGGCGAGCTGGGCAGGGCGGGGCTTGGGCAAGGGGCGTGGTCTCAGAGTTTGGACTTGCGGATTCTGGAGGGATGAGGGGTTCCCTGTAAAGAGGCGTGACCTTGGAGATGGCCTGGTCTGGGGAGTGACTTTTGCCCCTTCTCTTAACCTGTCCTGTTCTCCAGGACAACTGCCCGCTGGTGCGGAACCCAGACCAGCGCAATTCGGACAACGACAAGTGGGGCGATGCTTGCGACAACTGCCGGAACCAGAAGAATGACGACCAGAAAGACACAGATCAGGATGGCCAAGGCGACGTCTGCGACGACGACATCGACGGTGACCGTAAGCGCGGCAGGGGGTGGAGTGGGCTGGCACCGAGGGGCGGGGCCATCTGGGGGCGGGGCTTGGAAAGCAAGAGAATGAGCTTACTTGGGGCGCCCAGGACCTTGGACTGTGCTCCACCAGCAGAAAAACGCCAGCTGTGTCGGATGCTGCAGGTAGGAAGAGCAGGACAAAGCCTAGGATTTAGGACCAGGGTAGTGCCCTTTTTACATTTGGGGCATAGAGATTCAAGGGGTGCATTCACATGGAAAGGCGGAGGCTCGGATCAGCTGACCCTGAGTGAGGGCTAGTCCCCTCCCTGGCCGACTGTTCATGAAGTCTCTACGAGGCTGGGTCCCGGGCAGGAGCACTTGATTTAATTTTGTAGCAACTGGGAGCCAGAGGAGGGGTGGGACTCTGTCCCAGTTAAGCCCCAGGCTTGCACCTGCCCTGCTGAAGGCAGTCTAGTCCAGCCCCGATCTTGGGGTCCTGTTCTGTTCCCTTGAATCCTGCAGGAATCCGAAATGCGGTGGACAACTGCCCTAGGGTGTCCAACTCAGACCAGAAGGACAGTGATGGCGATGGCGTAGGGGATATCTGTGACAACTGTCCCCAGAAGAGCAATCCAGACCAGGTAAAGGGAACAAGCCAGATCCCAACTGGGTCAAACCACCACCCCGCCCTGCGGCCTGAGCCCCAGGCTAGTTAACAAGACTGCAGCCTAGTCAAAGAGTCTGAGGGTGTGTTCCTTGGGGTCAAGAGGACCTTGGCTCTCGAACTGGGGTGAGTGGAAGGCTTCTAAGTTCCTCTCCCTGATCATGGACCCCTGCACCTGTCCCCAGGGGGATGTGGACCACGACTTTGTGGGAGACGCTTGTGACAGTGACCAAGACCAGTAAGGAGGCCTTCTGGGATGGGGGTGGGGACCCAAGGTGGGGAGCTCCTGACTGGGCCCTCTGGGGATCTCACTGACTTCCTGTCCCACTCACCTACTTTAGGGATGGGGATGGGCACCAAGATTCGCGGGACAACTGCCCCACAGTGCCCAACAGTGCCCAGCAGGACTCAGACCGCGATGGACAGGGTGACGCCTGTGACGAGGACGATGACAACGACCGAGTCCCTGACAGTCGGGACAACTGCCGCCTAGTGCCCAACCCTGGCCAGGAAGACTCAGATGGTAAGGCGTGGGCAGGGCCTGTGGCGGGGACTGGGCGTGTGGAACCACTGGGGCAGGGTTTAGAGTGAGTGTGTGGCATGGGTGGGGCAGGTAGCTAGTGTGAGCGGGGCTAGGCCTGGGGTGGGACCTGGCATTGACCTCACAGCTCCTGGGGGTCTCCCACCTCCTCTTAGGGGACGGTGTGGGTGATGCGTGCCAGGGCGACTTTGACGCGGACAAGGTGGTGGACAAGATCGATGTGTGTCCGGTGAATGCAGAGGTCACCCTCACTGACTTCCGTGCTTTCCAGACGGTCGTGCTGGACCCCGAGGGCGACGCACAGATAGACCCCAACTGGGTGGTGCTCAACCAGGTGGGGGCGGGGACCTGGCGGAAGGTGGGGGGAGCCCAAGACCCCCAACTTAGGGTCCTAAGCTACAGGTCGGAGAGCCTAGGGCCCCACGGCCTGCCTGAAGCCTTTCTTCCTTTGACCCCATCAGGGGATGGAGATTGTGCAGACGATGAACAGTGACCCTGGCCTGGCTGTGGGTGAGACACGGGAAGGGTCAAGGCGGTACAGGGAGCTGCTCAGGGGCAGGGCCAGGGTGGGGCTAAAGTGTGAAATGGGCGGGGCCATGGGCGGAGCTCTGTCTGTATTCAGGGGGTGGGAATGAGGCGATTCTATGGGGTGGAGAGGATATGGGCCTAGAAGGTAAGCTGTGGACTCTGGGGGTGCGGGGGTCTGCGGGCCGGCCAGGGCTCGGTTCTGGGTAGGGACCAGCATCCAGGACCCCACCGGTCTTCTACCTCCCCAGGTTACACGGCCTTCAATGGTGTCGACTTCGAAGGCACATTCCACGTGAACACTGTCACAGATGACGACTATGCCGGCTTCATCTTTGGCTACCAGGACAGCTCGAGCTTCTACGTGGTCATGTGGAAGCAGATGGAGCAGACGTACTGGCAGGCCAACCCCTTCCGTGCTGTGGCTGAACCTGGCATCCAGCTCAAGGTGTGTGGGGAAGTGGGGTTGCTGGCTATGTGACCTTTCAGCCCACATCTTCTAGGAGGACCCGAACCCTTCCACAGACCCCAAAAGCCTTCACATTCCCTCAGCATCAGTCTATGAATCTCAGAGTCTTCCCACCCATTCCTAGCCCTCCTCTGGACTCCCACAGGCCCTCAAACACCCACCAAGTACCCTACAATCTTCCTTTGAGCCCCGAAACCCCATCTCAGAGCTCTAAACTTTCCTTCAGGTTCCAAATCCTCCTGCAGACTCCTAAGACCACATTATGTCACAGAAACTCTCCAGCAAATTTCCCAAGTCCTCTAGACCAGAGGTCCCCAACTCCCGGGCCACAGACTGGTACCAGGAGGTGAGCAGCAAGCGAGTGAGCGAAGCTTCATCTGTATTTGCAGCCACTCCCCAGCACTAGCATCACCGCCTCAGCTCCACCTCAGATCATCAGGCATTAGATTCTCATAGGAGCACCGGTCCCTGGTGCCAAAAAGGTTGGGGACCGCTGCCCTAGACCCGTTTATCCCATAGACACCCAAAACTTTCTACAGGCCACCAAATCCTCCTGCAGACCTCAGACCTATCCATAGATGCCCAAATCCTCTCATAAGCCCCCAGACCACTGCTGCCTCCTACAACCCACCTGCGAATCTCCCTGTGGTCCTCAAGAAGGCATCCTTATGGGTCTCCCATTCAGGCCCCGAGGGCCTCCATCACTCCTCCACGATCTGCAGATCCCACCAGGCAGGATTCTGGGAGTGGGTTCCAGTGGTCAGTGTGGTCTCTGATCCTGTGCCCCTGTCCCTGGGCACGTCAGGCTGTGAAGTCCTCCACTGGCCCTGGGGAGCAGCTACGGAATGCACTGTGGCACACGGGGGACACAGCATCACAGGTGCGGCTGCTTTGGAAGGACCCCCGCAACGTGGGCTGGAAGGACAAGACATCCTACCGCTGGTTCCTGCAGCACCGGCCCCAAGTGGGCTACATCAGGTGGGGACCCCACCCCTGCCAAGGGACCGAGTCCCTGCTCCACCTTTGCTCCTGGGGGGAGATGAAAGGTTCTGGGAGCCTTGGTCCCCTTGTCTGTAAAATGGGAACAATGTAGGCAGTTAGAATTAACTGTGACTGGCCCTGGGCATGACTCTGCACCTACTGTGTGCAGGACCCTGGATGACTATCCTCTCACACAGGGAAACTGAGGCACAGGTCAGGAGCCCCACCTTCCCTGAGTGAGGCCCAGGCAGGAGGAACCCATGGCCCTCACTCTGAGAGAGGAGGGGCCCGTGTTCTAGGGCAGGATGCCAAAGCTCTGAGGGGCTTGACTTTCCTCCCGTCTCACTGTCCCCTGCCCCTCCAGAGTGCGATTTTACGAGGGCCCTGAGCTGGTGGCCGACAGCAATGTGGTCCTGGACACCACCATGCGGGGGGGCCGCCTGGGGGTCTTCTGCTTCTCTCAGGAAAACATCATCTGGGCCAACCTGCGCTACCGCTGTAACGGTGAGAGGAGGGCCCACTGGGGAGCGTGGGGTCTGCCCTGCAAGCCTCACCACTTCTCACCTACCTGCCCTGTCTCCTTCCACAGACACCATCCCAGAAGACTATGAGACCCAGCGGCTGCTACAGGCCTAGGGACAGGGTGGGGACCTGCCACCACTCTCATGGCTGCAGCACCAAGGGAACCTGGAGAGAGAGAGGGGATCAGAAAGGATGAAATAAAGTGTGTTCAGCGCGGCAGTGGCTGTAGTCTCTGCTTCAGGGACGTAGCAGGGTCCAGCCTCAGAGAGTGGGGACCTGGGGCTGACTCTGCTCCTGACTAACAGTGTCCAGCCATGATTTGGGAGACCCCAGGCCTGCTTCTGTAGCCCACTCACTTGTGGTCATGGGCCTGGACCCACACCCCTGGAGTGTCTGCTCTAGGATTCTGGGGGTGGGCTGCTCCTTTTCCAGGTGCCAGGCCAGAATAGCTGGCTGGTAGGGGAGGTGGTGAGGGGTGCATGTCTTCATGTCCATGTTTGTGTGTGTGGGGGTTCTCTTTGTGGCTCCACCTGGTATGCTTGTGACATCCATGCTTCATCTCTAGGGTTGGGGGAGGGGCAGGAAAAAAGAGGAGGCAGAGACGAAAACATTGGCTTTTTATTAGGTTTCATTACAAAGGATGCAAAGGTACAAAGACAGAAGCGTCCACGCCAGAGGACAGGCAGGGGCCGGCCAAGTGCACCCTGAGCCGCCTGCCCCCACCCGCCGCAGGCACCCACAAACAGCCCATGAGACATCCACAGCAGAGTGTACATGCTGGGGGGGTGCAGAGCCAGCCTGGGGACAGAGGGACACAGGTGGGGCAGGGCTCAGATTGGCGGGTTTGCATATATTAGTGGTGCTGCCCAGCCACTGGGGGGGCAGTTTCCTGTAGGGGTGGGGCCAATGGACCTCAGCTGCCAAAGCCCTCTCTCCTGGGGTCTGGTGGCAAAGGCTATAGCACTGTCCCCTTATCCCCAGTGGGCAAGAGGTCAGAAGTGATGGGCTAGGATGGGTTGGGTATCAATTGCCCCCAAATTCCAGAACCCTGTGAGATGGGGGCACCCCCCCCACATGCCATGTGTCCCTGGCTCCTCTGAGGAATGGGGTATTGGGGGCTGGCTAGGAGGGTGGAAAGCAGAGGGAGCCTTTTGCAGCCATCATCCTCCTGACATCCAGCTCCTGCCCCTTAACCCTAACTGGGAGGAGCCTGGGGCCCTGAGACTCATGAGTCTGAGCCAGTGACAGGAGGGAGACCAAGGCCCAGGTCACAGGGTCTTGTTTCTGCTCCCAATGCCCTCATGAGTACCCCAGTGGCCAGCCCTGGGGGTACAGCTCACCCTACTTCCTCTCCTAAGGAGTGGCTGGTTGCCTGTGGCATGAGAGTCATGAGAGAGGCCTGAGCCCCTCCTGGCCAGCACCCCTGGAGGAATGTCCTAGGAGACCCCAGTTGCATACTGTGAGACTCTCCAGGAGGTGTGGGCCTGTGGTCCAAGGAGAACTGAGACAGAAACTGATCCAGCTGCCTATTAACCCTAGACAGGCCTCCTGGGGTGGGTGAGGCACCAAGTCCTCCTCCCAGATCTGCAGGACACATGGGGAGGGCTCAGGTGGCCACAGTCCCCTCACCTGGAATGCCATCTGCAGGGGCGATGGGCCAAGACCTGGGTGTCCAGTACCCTTGACCTTTCAGCCCCTACACTGGCCCCCCCGGTGGCCTGTGACTATGGCTCCATCAGAACCTAGGGAGGGTGATGGGTGCTGCTACTGCTCTGTCAGGCCCCCAATGCCTCCATGCCTCACACAACTAGCCTGTGTCAGGGTGGGGAGCCTCCTGTGGAAATGTAGAAAGATGAGTCCAGTGGAGGAAGGGCTTGGAAGGATGTTAGGAACCAGCTCATGATCCCCGAGAGGTGGTAGTCTGGGGGCATGTTCCCAAATGTCCTCAGCTCCCAAGACCCCTCTAGTAACATTTGCTCACAGGCACTCACGAGGCCCAGGACACCAGATGGGGGAAGGGGGCGTTGGAGAAGTGGGGACCCTGTTGATCAGCCCCACCCAGCCCCATCTAACCAGACTAGGCCACAACCCCCACATCAGACATCTACCCTCAGCAGGATGTATAGATGGACACAGGGCCCCTTGCTCTCCACACAGGGTCTCACTGTGGCATTTGACAAAGCTGACCTTTCCCGCCCCACTGTGACAAATGGGCCTCAAAATGGGCTGCCCCACTGGGTGACCTCCCAGGAGCTCACCTGATGGAAGTCAGGCTAAACACACAGACCACTCAGAACCCTCCTTCTGGCCCTGAAAACCCAAAAGCAGATAACAGCAGGGAGGTTGAAAAGTCAAGTCTCCGCACTGGGGTAAGGGTCATAAGCGCATGCCCCTGCCCTTGACAACTGGTCCCAGGGAGCTCTGTGAACCACAGTGAAATGGGGCTGGACCCAGCACAATTACAGCCCCTTCTGCTGTAGCTTGTCCCCATAGGGCAGCCTGGCTGGCTTTAGGATGCCATTGGCTGTGGGTCCCCAAATTTTACTACAGGGTTAACCTGTCCCTAGAGCTTTCCACTGTGGGTCTCAGGGCCCCCTATCCCGAGACTGACACTCACCCTTCCTGCCCAGAAGTGTTAGTGGGGGGGGGCGGGGGGGAGGAGGTGCTGCAGGACACTCCCGACAGTACTATCTTCCCTACGTAAGGACATGGAGGAAGAATGTTGGCACTGGCACCAGTGATGGTGACCATGACCCCAACAAGATCCCGCCTTCTCCAGTCAGCCTGGGCACAACTCTCTTTTCCAGAGGACACAGAGAAGGGCTGGCCCTGGGTGCCATCCGCCACCCAGGAGCCATGTGGAGAAACAAACTCACTGCCCTGGGGACCTGGAGGGCAGAGGGTAAAATGAGACAGGGGGGAACAGGCCAGGCAGTTTGTGTTCCCAAGGGAAAGGTTTGCAGAGCTGAGGGGGCTCAGCCAAAGCCAGGAGTACTCAGGGGGTGTAAGGAGAAAGCCTGGCTGACCTCTGAGCCAGTGTGGGCTGAGTGTCCAGGCCTGATGTCTAGGCTTGCTTGGAACATGTGAGCAGGACATGGGTGGTGATAGGCTGCAGGCCTGGGCTGCACCTCATGACACAGCTCACCTGAAATCACAGTATTTCACTTCACAAGTCAAAGGACTGATTCCCTTAGGCTGTTTTGCCTCAGAAAGTCTTGGCAACTCAAGAATATTTAGTAGAGAAGCAATATTTAAGAAAAAAACAAAGTCCCCTATTGCAGACCCTGGGAAGCCTCCCCAGGCCCAGGTGGGGGTAACCCCTTGGAAGACACAGGGACACCTGGCCGCTGGGTCCTGGCGGGGCTCCCCTCCCAGAATAGCTCTGCACCTACACCCCTCACAGGCTGAGGCCACGTGTTAATAGTGTCACCTGTGCTCCAGGCCATGGGCCTCTCCTGCCGGTCTGCACCTAGAACCAGTACCAGGCAGATGGGAAGTGCAGGCTGACAAGGCTCTCTCACTGGGTCACCAATGCCTTGTTTGAAAATTGCATCCAGGAAGGTTGCTTGTAATTTTATTAAGGCCATTTTTTAAAAAGTTCTACATACAAGTCTAATGGTAACCAAACTCTTCTATGTACATGTAGGTTTTCTTTAAAAAAAAAAAAAAAAAAAAGATCCACTTCCCTGCCCCGAC